ATTCAAACGCCTTCCGCTATGCAAAGTAATGCCCGTCCGCGAATCCAACCAACCAACCATGCTGTTGTTTCCCAAACCGCTCTTCTAAAAGCCCCCGGTAATAGTACAGAAGTTCGAATCGCAATATTAGTTCGCACCTGTAGAAGTAACATTAGGGTTATACACCGCGGCCTGTTCCTCCTTTTTAGCACACTATTTCTGCACACCTTTTTCAAGGGTGAGATGATTTACCCCTGTGATCAACTCAGCGCCGACGTCTTCCATAAGCACCTTTTGGGTGGGAGGAGAAGACTGGTTTTCCTTGCCGCTGGGCTGAGGTGTCCGCTCGCGCTGCGCTCGCACGCTATCGAGGTCCGCTTCGTCAACGTCATCGTCCTCTTCATCTTCGTCTTCGGCGTCTTCGTCGTCAGCGTACTCGTCCTCCATCATAGAGGCCGTCATCCGCTCGTCGCCGTCGACGCTTCCGCTGAGGATGCTCTCTCGCTCGTCACCGTATTCATCAATGGAGCCTCTCGAGATGTAGCTTTGGCCCATCTCGTCACCGATGTCTTCGTCATCGTCGTCGGCGTCTTCTTCTAGGTCGGCCTGCTCATCATCAGAGTCGCTTGCTGAGAATTCATCCAACTCCAATGGAGTATCCCTCCAGTACTTGAAATCTGTGTACTCTTCTCCACCACCCTTGACGAGAGTGCTAACAGGTGGGAAGAAGTGGTCCACAACCTCGTTGATGTTGATGTAGCTCAACTTGAGCTTGTTCAAGCTCAGTAGATCAAGAGAAACCTCGGCGTTGGAGTTGATCGTGAAGATGCGGTTCCTCGGAACATCCACTGTTCTGTACGAAATTTGGTCCGTCAAACGGTTTCCAAATCCAGCGTAGAATGGCGTCTGTTCCCGACCGTACAAGTGACGAATGTCACGAAGAGTAGCCATCTTGAATACCTCGGGCTTCCGGAGGTACACCTCACGACGGAGTGCGGCCATAGTACGGTCCGGGGACAAGATTGTTGGCCCGCGCGGAACCCGGTACTCTCCCTGCTGGATGCCAGCCAAGTATGCTCTGGTGGTATCGGACTGTCCCACTGATCGACTAGTTAGGTACATGATGTTGTAACCGTTTGCGACAATGTCGCTGTAGAGTTTGGCAACACCAGCGTGCGTCCAGTCCCTGCCAATCATGTTCAAAACATGACCCAGCGCATCCGACTTGGTGATGGTGCCGTCGATATCCGAGATGACAACAGGCACCTCATGTCTCCACAGGTACATATTGGCGTTACATGTCGCTCTGTTAACTGTGAAGCTCATACTGTTCTCACCGGGCTTCAAGCACAACGCCTTCAGCTGATCGCTAGTCAACCGCAGCGTCTTGGCGTAGTTCAGGTTTGGGTCTCCGGCTGACGATTGAGGCGGAGTGGTCGGAGGAGTCTGCATGCCAGAGGCGCCGACATCCGACTCAGTTCTCCTATGGATCGGAGTAGGCGCTGTAGTCGTCACATCGCTACCGTCGCTCTGGTATCCCGGGTCGGATGCAGCATCAGCTGCGATGGCCGTTGGCCGGTAACCTGCCTCCATAGTCTTCTTCTTGGCTGCCTCTTTCGCCTCCTCGCTGCTGTAGATCCAGATGTTTCCATGTTCGTCCATACCAAAAAGGGAACCAATATCGTAGTTGCCTTCAAGCTCTTCAGACAAGATCTTACGTGCAAGGATCTCAGCACGGAAAATATCCTCCTCGTTGCTCTTGAAACCGGTCATGTCAAGCATGAGGTCGCCCGTTTCGGTCACGCGAGTGGGAATGTTGTTGGCGGAAAGCTCCTTGGAGAGCATGCGCGCCCGCTCGACAGCATCCTTCGCTGCCAGAGGCGGAGGACTCTGCGATCTCTCGGACATGGCAAAATCGGCAGAGCTTTCGCCGTACTCACGGTCACTGGTACGAGCCGACTTGCGCAACACATCGTCGCTATAGGGACGGAGGTTCCAGTCGTCTGATCTCGGTCGTCCGTGGGTGAGGTCTGGTGATGTGGATAACGGGGTAAGAATGCCTGGAATCATTAGCTTCTGAATGTGCGCCTGGGGTCACCAGAGGACGGGCAAGAGACCAACCGTGGTCCCGAGGGAGAGTTGCGCTGTGGATGACTGAAGGAGGAGGACGCTTGGGTCTCCTCTCTTCGGAGTCCAGGTCCAACAGATCCGGTTCGCCCAGTTCGGAGGAGGAGGGGTTCTCAGGGTTCAGGGGAGGGCTCGATGCTGGGGATACCAAAGGCGAGGTTTGTAGATCCCTGGGGATGTTGTCGCTGGTTTCGAAGACGAAAAAGGCCTCTCCTTCCTCTCCAAGTTTCATGGAGTAGTTCTGCTTGACGCCGTTGACCTTGAACTCGACCTTCTTCTCATAGGGCCGAAGGAGGGAGAACTTTCCAAAGCGGACGTGGAAAGGCGAGCAAGCCAGGGTGCCGTCTTCTTGCTCAACGACAATCACGTCGATGGCGCCACTCAGAGTGGCCGGGTTGATGGAGTTCCATGTCGAGGAGACGGAGGCGCTGAGGTTGCGAACGTACTGCATGGTGACTATGGAGCTACGCCCTTGCAACGGGGAGGAGTCTTGGATACGGCGCGGGTGTGCGATCGCAGAGCCAGGAAGGCAGACGTTGTGAAAGATACGATGCGATGTGCAACAGCCTCCTGGTCTCTTGTATCGTGGGTTTCGCTCAGCTGTAGAGACCAGACAGTAGGCGGGAGGGTTCGGGGTTGAAGTGGTGTAAAGATGACGAAGGTGTTAGGAAAGCGACGAACGAATGGGGCGGAATATTGGCACAGGTAAGGTCGGTTGATGGACGATACGAGCGGGAAGCAGAAGGACCTGGCGGGCAGCGGACAGGGGGGAAGCAGCAGTGCACCCCTGCTTGTTGGACCAGCCCAACAAGCTAAGACGCCCTTGAATGCTCTCTGGGGCTCTTTGGCTCACTGCAAAACGGCGGCAGAGAGGTACCAGAGTGCCCGTGGCTAGGCGGTTTTGGTACAAGCGCGACAGGGCCAGCTCGCCCACGTTTGCTGGCTGGGTAAAGAGTAAGCAAACGGACAAGGTACTCAAAATCTGCCGCGGATCATGTGAAGGTGGACATTGGGGAGAACGCCAGCGGCGCATCCCCCCAATGGCAGCCCCTGGCCCGGGCCATGCGTCGCTGTGCGCTCACTGTACTGGCCGCCTTAAGCCGGGCGCAGATAAGGCCACCTCTACTGCACTAAAAGGAGGAATGCCGGCATGGATATGAGAACGGCCAGCCCTGGTGCACGCGCGAAGGGCCGGTGGGCTTGCATGCTGGGCGGCGCTAGGCCTTGGGCCGAGGCCAAAGATCTGTCTGGTAAGGCGCCTTAGCTGGAATTTCCCTCTGCAAGTTCACGCTCAATGCGCCCTTAGCTCGAGGGCCGTCGGAATTCGGAATGCGAAAATTTTACATACCTTAGTCTTAGTACCTTCATCAACTTTTTTTTTTTTCACTTCTTACAGAAAAAAAGGAGAATCCTCGTTGAGTGGCTGCTGCTCCGTGCCCTGGTGTCCTGGTGCCGCCTCTTCCTGAGTGTCCTGAATGACCTTTCGTTCGCACGGCTGTTCTGCTCCGGGACGGCACCTAGGCCGTCCAGCTCACATGGCCAACAAAAGCGAAAAAAGGCCATGGGTTGTCCCCAATTGAAGGGGAATCGCAGTCAGCTTCGCTTCACCCGCCCAACATCTTCTTCCCCCCAGCCCAGCCTCCCCTCTTTCCGCTCTGTTCTGTTGTGCAGAGCCCAAAAAAACACAGCAAGGCCTGTATTGTGCACCTAATGAATACGACACTCCACACTCTCACTCACCTAAACCGGGCCAGTCTGCTGACTCGGTCCTGTAACTGAATTGTACTCGTGACACTTATTTTTTTGCGGGCTGATGGGTTTGCTGCCTCCAAGTCTCCAAACGCTCCATCCGAATTCCCCAAAAAGAAACTCCAGCCAAAGTCTGATGTCATTGCCCAGAAGGAGGGACTTTACCCCTCCATCTGTCGTCCGTCGTCCGTCGTCCCGCCTCTTCCACCACGCCGCCCTGAGTTCGATAGTATTTCCCCCGCACACGAACCATGCTGTCATTCCCTCTAACACCCAAACTCAAAAAGCTAGACATCTCGTTGCCGTTCCCGTGTCTCTGACATGCTCCATCCTTCGTCATTCATCCCTCATCGTCTTACACACCGCCGTCACTGACGAAACTGGCGCTGCTACCTCGGGAAAAAGAGACAAGAGGGGCAGGCAAAAAGGGACAAGAACACTGCCGAGAGAACGAGGTCACCTGCACATGTGGGCGCATGAATCACGATCCATGTGGTAAATACCGGACACGCTCGCTTTCTCATCTCCATAAAAATTTCTCTTCGAAAGGAGGGGAAGGGTTCAGGGACGGAAGACGGTAAATAAAAATAAAAGGAGGCTGTTTTTGGGGACGTCCAATCCCCGGCTGGCTATTTGCACACACACACAGTGTGCGGTTGTAGCCAAGCATACCCCTTCCTTAGGATCTCATGAACTGGCCCAAAGATCTGGCATCCCAAAGCTTGGCGGCGGCGACTCAGACGATAAAATCAATTTTTCAGTGTGCAGATGCCACGCCTCCGAGCCGCATAAAGTGTGCACGTAAGGAAATAGGGCTGCCTTGACTGTGCTTGGAGATCTTAGTCTGTTGTTTATGGTTACTTGCCTTCGCTGGAGGACAATCCTCCCATCGCAGAATTACGCCAGGAACTAATAGACGTGAGCAGAAGACGCTCAAATTTGTCCGAACATTCGCGAAAAAAGCCTTGCAAGTTAACACCTTCGCCAGAATAGATGCAGTGAACCAGAACTTTTTCGTATTCCATACTCGAATCTCGAGAAATGGTGACTTGCTATCCAGCAACTAATCCATCAACCCGAACGGTTATTTCAAAAATTATCGATCCTGTCGAACGCCCATCATCCCGTATCATTAAGTCATACACTTACTCAACCTCCAACACGGCGGGAGCCTTGACCTCCTTGCCGCTGAACTTCTCCAGACCCTCGCCGCCATAGCTGAAAAGAGGCGAGACCTCAACACCGTCCTCGGTGCTCTCGCCAGTGACGATGCCGCCAGCGGCCTTGATCCAGCGCTTGCCTTGAAGCATGATGTCGCGCTTGCTGGTATCGGGGTCGTCCTCGCCGGTGCCGCGGGCGTTCTTGAGGGGCGAGAACTCGTCCTCGCGCTTCACCTCCATGGAAGCGAACTTGCTTAGGTCCAACATGGGGAAGACGTCGAAGACGAACTGCTCCAGCTTGATGCCGTTGGGCTTCTCGGGCTTGACAGTCTCGCCAGACTTGAGGTCCGCGTAGGGAATCTTCTTGCGGGCAATGTGGTGAGGCAGCTTGTGGGCCCACTGAGGAATGCTCTCGAGGAAGCGGAACGAGTAGTAGTGGTTGACAATGTTGGCGGCACGGAACTTGAGGACGCCGGGCTGCTTGGAGTCCTGGGCCTCGGCAGTCTCCTTGTCAATTTCGGAGTACTCGACAACGTCGGGCTTGCCGTTCTTGAGCAGAATCAAACCGACCGACTCGGTAGCGTTGCGCTTGCGGACAACCTTGGTGGTGATGTCGACGTCCTTGGAGGCAGAGAAGCCAATGAAGACGGGATCAGCAACCTTGACGAGGCAGTTGTCGACGCAGTAGGCGTGGATGTGCTCGATGCCCCTCTTGCGCATGTCGCCCATCACGTCCGAGACGACGAGCGCCTGGTAGATACCTCCGTTGCCATCAGGGGCAACTGCAACCTTGCCCTTGGACTCGAGAAGAATCTTGCCCTCGTTCGAAATGCAAGGCAGCACGCCCTGCTCGAAGATGAAGACGTTGGACTTGTCCAGACCGAAGTAGTTGTTCTCCTGGAAGTACTTCTCCGTGGGGCCGCGAGTGGGGCCGGAGGTCATGACGTACCACGGGACGACGGCCTTGCTGGTGCCGGCCTTCTTGGCCGCGAGCTCCTGGACCTTGCGAATACGCTCAGCCTGGATCTGGAAGAGGGACTTCTTGCTGGGAAGACCAATGTCGTAGCAGCCCTTGGGCGCAGAGCTTCCGAGTCTGGTGCCCTGACCGCCTGCCATCAACACAACAGCCACCTTGTTCTGGCCGATCAGGTCGAGACCTGACTGGTACCAGCTCTCAATATCTTCGGGCTTCGAATCGAGGATACTGGCGGTGGCGGACTCGGGCAGGGGCTCGAGACCGGACTGAGTGGAGGCATCGTCGGTCTTGGGAGGGTTAAGGGCGCGGTCGGTGATCTTGTTGATGTGCTCAGGGTCGAAGCCGGACAGCTGCTGGTAGAGGGCAGCCTTCTCGGAAGAGGGGAGGTCGTCGTAGAAGGTGAAGACCTGGTCCTGGCCAGCCTTGGCGTACTTCTCCTTGAGCTGAGAGAGCTGCTCGACAGAAGGCTCGGTGGCAGCAGGCTTGTTGGAGCCAATGTTGAGAGCAGACTTGATTGCCTCCATGTTGGGTGGTGGGTGTGGTGTGGGTATCTCGGTGGGGGAAGCTATCAGTCAAGTCAATTGCGGCTGCTGATGATCAGAAAGCAGTCTGATGTGATGATTACAGAAGAATGAAGGTTGAAGGCTGAAGCAGTAAGGCAGGAGAAGACGAAAAGGCGGAAGAGACCAAGTAAACAAATGAGGTCGACAGGAGGTAGCTTACCTTACTTGTAGTCCCCGCCAAAGACCCCTCCATGGTCCAAATATAGTGCCTTAAAGGGGGGGGCAAGCTGGGTGGTCGTTGTCCAGGTCCCCGCTAGTTGTCAGGTCAGATCAATTGGCTCAGTCGCTTTCAGATGGGATGGAGCCCCTCATTCCAGGGCAGCGAGACGCCTTCAGGGCATGATAGGTCGCTTTCAGCTGCGAGCCCCTCACTCCAGTTCGTTTTCAGGGGATGCTCAGGAGCCAGCCACATCAGCACATGGCGAAATGCTCCCGGGAAGGGCGATTCAGGGCCTGCACCCTACGTAGAGGGTAAAGTGGCTGAGGCAACGTATTTGCTGCGTACAGGTCCGGATACGAGGACGAGGAGACTCGAGCTGGAACGCTGCAGCACGGAAGCGCATCCTTAGCTCACGTAAGAAACTTGGTAAGACGTGATGATCATCATCATTCGGCAGCCACATTGGTTGCGGGAGTCGGGGCTGTGCGACTTTGAGTGGCAGAAACTTGGCGGGAGGCGCCGCTAGGTGAAGAGCAAGCTGTCAGAAAGTAAGGTTGGTAGGCGCAGGCGCAGATAGGTAGATAGCTAAAGGCGCCATCGTGCGACTGTTGAACAGCAAGTAGTGCCGAAAGCCTGGTTTGGCAAACCGAAGACTTCAACTAACAGGTGGATGTTCTTTAGTTTAACCCACTCGTCGAATACCTATCTTGGATACGCAACTTGCTAGAGGACAAAACTTCATCGGAGGAGATGAAACCGAGTCAAGAGCTCTCAGTCCCAAAGGAAACCAAGACGTGACTTAGCGGTGATTCAGCACAGGCGAAAAGAACCGTGCTTTAAACCTGAGGAGCTTTCTTCTAGGTAAGGCAGTCAGTCATGAGAGCTTCATTTCATCAATTATCTGGAAAGAAACCACGGAGAAGCATCAAGCGGACCTACTACCCCTCATATTTTCTGGAATTTCAGAATGACGGCATGCTACCAGGCATGCGCGTATGCTTGAGCAGGGCCAAAGACCGCAAGGTGGTTATTCTGCCCGCCCGCTTGAAATTAGGCTTTGATATACGGAAAGACAAGATGAGTTTAATTCGAGAAAAGAAAGGAAAAAAGACATAATAGAGACTGGACCCCTCCTCAGTCTGTCTACCTGCTCTCATTTCCACCATTCTTGCTTTACGGCTGCCTACATATGATAGGTAAACTACCTACCCGGGAAGTGACTCTCGTGCCTCATTCTCGAGTGCTCCCTCCTCTGCAGGCCTGCCCTGCCTTTACCGCCCCTCCATCATTAAGCCCTCCCCGTTTCCATCCTTTCAGCCCCAAATTGCCCGGCCGGCATCCGTCGCCAGTGGTAAAGCAGGCACGAATATGCGTGTAGGGGCATGTCCTGATCGCCTGCATCCGTACTGTGCAGGCCCCTTGCCGCGATACACGGTGCAAGGACATTGGTTGACGGGAACCCTCTAGGTGAGGTGGTGCAACACCCTGTGCCTATACAGTGGGAGAGTGGTGTCGCTGGTTAGCGCTCCAGTCCTCCCATGTAGTGGAGGTTGTCAGAGCCAGACCTGAGCCTGCCCGCCCGCCCTGGATCGGGTTGGGTCCCGTTTGGCTTGGCTCGTGGTCGACGTCGCCGCCGCAGACTGCGCTCCAACTGCCGAGATTTTCTTCCATCCTCTCCCATTCGCTTCTTGACCGATCTCTGTTACCGCCCTCCCACCCAGAATTTCCCCCCCAGCGAGAGCGGACAGGCGAACGGTCTCATCCTTCGCTTTTTGTTTCGTACCTCCGCTCCTTTTTTCTGGTTTTGGTTCTGGTTAGGCTCCTGTTTCTTTTCCTTTTCCTTACCGGCTCGACGCGGCGATGTTATGGACCCTGTTCGTGAAAATCCTCTTCGTCAGCTTCCTCATCGCTTGGTGGCTTAAACGACCTCAGGGCCGCTTCTACAAAGCCTTACTCTACGCCGCCTCAGCCGCCGTATTCTATCTCGTCGCCCCCCTCTACGCCTCCCTCTGCCTTGCCTGGTCCGTCCACTACACCCGCGAGAGCATCCGGTACTGGAGTCTAGATGAGTTGCTTCTTCGACATGCCAGCATGTTGGTGACACTCGCCGCAGTCATTTGGTAAGTTGCTCCGCCCTGCCTTGCACATGGGATCTCACTGCCACCTCCCTGCCGCCTGTCTTCCTTGCGCCCATGCGACTGACACGTCCCCGTCTAGGCTGCTTCACCGTGCCTGGCAGACCCTCTGGAAGCCCACTACCGACTTGATTAGCATTCTTGGAGTCGACGTTCCCGAAGCCCCCGATGTATCCCTGGCCGGTATTAAGAACGACGCCGCTACCCTCAACTGGACGCGCCCCTCTCACAACCGGCCTGTACAAAAGTTTCTAATACAGGTCAACGGTGTCAATGGTTAGTCCGGCCAACGAAGCCTGTCGTGCGCTGTGTTGTGGGGTTCTAACAAAGTGCTGCAGTTGGCGAATCGAGATCTGAGGAAACGGCGATTACTGTAACCGGCCTCAGGCCCAATCATTGCTACAACATTCGCGTCATCGCGGTCGGTCCGAATAACTTCCAAGCCGGGAGCCAAGTCATACGATTACGCACATATCGATCCGATGGACGGCCAGAGCTAGGAAACTCCCGTCTGCCCGACAGCTTTCAGGACCAAGAACCCCGATCCAATCATTCCCAGTGCACTGAAGAGAATGGCGGACGCAGTCAGGTTCCTACCATCGAGGCGGCGCCCTCTCTCGAACCCGGATCGGCCACCGCACGGGAACCCGCGACCAGTGCCGGCCAGAGACGCAACACCGTCAACCGACGACACTCCCCATCTATAGCGAGCCAGGAACAGCCAACTATCAAAGATCTGTCGGGCGACCATCCCGAGGCGTCACTGAAGGATTTGGCCGACACTCTCGAAAAGCAACGGAAGGAGATTGACGATACAGCTGCACTGCACACGACCGAGGAGACCGAGTTCAGGCAACTTGAACAGCGTCTCAAGAAAGAGAGGGATGAGAAGAAGAGAGTACAAAAGGAGAAGGATGATGCCACCGCACAGCTCAAGCAGAAGGTCAAGGCTAGTTACGAACAAATGCGCCAAGCCAGCAAGGACAAGGCGAAGAAGGAGAATCAACTCAAGGAGAAGCAAGATAAGCTCAACAAGGTCCGCGACAACATCGACAAGTGGACTACCGATATCGAGAACATGCGCAAGACGCGCGAGGGTTTTGCTGCCGAAAAGGAAAACCTGGAGAAAGACCGCGATCTCAAAGTGAAAACTCTGATCGAAGAGAACGCGGCTCTCCAAGAGGAGTTTGATCAGCTTGAGGCCGAGTACAAAGAAAAGAGGCAACAACTGAAGGAACTCGAAGACGAACGCAAGAAACTTCCCGGTGGAGAAGAAGACGATACTTGGCGAGAAGACGACCGGAAGATGAAAAGGGACTTCGAGACCAAGCGGAGAGAGCTCCAGAGTCAACTTATCATGGAGAACAGGAAAGCTCAGCAACTCGACGGGCACTTGCATATGCTAAACGCTCAAATGTATGCTGCAACTCAGCAAGGCATCAATTTCTTCAACCAAGCGAATTCCTCCGGCGTCGACTTTGAACAGAACGTACCGGTGCAGATCAAGCGAAGAAGCCGAACCGGAAATTCAATGACGAACGCGGCCGTTCCGTCTCCGACTGGACTATACTCCGCTTCGGATTCTCCGTATGGCCCTCCAAGCGGTTTCGGGAGTCGTTCGGGGTATGGTCAGTTCGGAGACATGCAGGCCAACGAGGGATTACCAACGGAACAGTTTCTTGAAGCAGACATGCGAGCCCTCACTGCGGGCGCTCCATTGAGCCCCACAGCCCAGATGCTGCTGCCATCCGGAATTTTAGGCGACGACTTTGATGATGAGCCTCATAGCCCCCACTCGTTTTCTCGAAGGAGCCCTTTCGCGCCAGATCAGCACAACGATGCTCATTCGCCAGCGCCGTCCGGCAATTCCAAAAGTGCACATTCTAGTCCTCCGGGCTCATCTCACCAGCAGAACTTCCCTCCTTTGTCCTCAGATATCGCCGACCACGCATCCCTTAAAGATGTGGCTGCTTCTTCGGGCGCACAGCCGTCGCCATCGGGGCACCGGCTTGGGAACCTGTTCGCGTCTTTCCAACGCAATAGAGGCGGGAAGAGTGCCGAGGAAGGCGGCCCACTTCTTGGTAGTCTGAAGCATGGTCAAAGCCAATCTTTCCCACGGCAAACCGACGATTCAGAGCCATCAAACAGACGCCGGACTAGTTTCTCATCGTACACGCAGAATCGGAATTCTGCTGGACCAGAGACTCTTGAAGGAAGCACATCATCGCTCGTACCCAAAGGTATGCTATCGTCGGCTAGGCGTCTCGTGCCTTTTGGCGGTGTCTTTGCGGATCGCGATCCAAGCAGCCCGAGACCTGCTTCCATGGCATCGGCAGACATGCCACGCCCATCCACAGATAGCGGACCCTCTATCTGGGGTCACCCGGGAGATAAGAGTCGCTTCTGGACAGACAATAGTATGTGGACTTCTCGGAACCCGTCTAGGCGACCTTCGATCCACGGCTCCCCTGCGGCTTTGAAGACAACCTTGGCGTCAGAACAAGATGAGATTCTCCGCGACGAGGTGCTGAAAGACCCCAGTCAAGTCGGTGTCATCGGAAGCAGACCACCAGGCAACAAATTGACTGCAGACGCTAGAACTTTGAGTGGGCGTCTCAATCCTGCAGCACCGACTTTTATCGGAGGTTTGTTCGGTTGGAAGGAGAAGGACGGCGACCCGAGCAAAGGCAAGGACAAACCCAAATCCAAGGATAAGTCCAAGGACAAGGGCAAGGACACGAAGGAAAAAGCAAAGGGCAGAGATGCTTCCGCTCCCAGCCTCGACTTGCCCCAAGGTTACGATTCTTCTCCGAATGAGTCCAGAAAGTCTCGCGATGCCTTCTCCATCCACACGCAAACGTCGGTCTCTGAATCTCGAGAGTCTTTGACCTTGGATCGAGCGTTATCCAGCACGCTTTCTGACCCCAACTCCATCGCCAAAGATCAGGAAAACGTTGTCCGCAAGCTGTTTAGGAAAGGAAGCTCTAGCAAGTTTAGTCTGTCTTCTCGGCTGAGTAAGGAATCCGGGCTCTTTAAGAAGGGCCCCGGAAGCACCACGAACTCGGACAAGAATATGTCAGCGGAGAGATCTAGCTTCGGCGACATTGACGACTACGGCGAGGAGGGTCTGCTCGGTCGCAGCTATGAAAGCGTCTCCGGCAGCCCCTCCTTTGGCCCGTCCAAGTCCAAGGAGTCGAAGGAAAGCAGAATGACGGGCTGGAGCAGCAAGTTTTCCATGAAGAAGAAGGGCAAGGACAACAAGGAAACCCCCGAGTCATCACACCGGGCCCTCGATAGCGATGTTGATGAAGAAAAGAAGGACATTTGAGTCCCAGCGTCAATTACCAGGCAGTCTTAGCTACGTAGTGCTCTTCGACAAAAAGAAATAAAAGCAAAAACTCCGCGATTCCATTTTACCTTATCGTCTCTTATTGCACTTGTTGTGAAGAGTTCCGCTGCAAGGTGCGGTACAAACCCAATAACAAAAGAAACGCAGCATTGCGCAACAAAATTCAAGAATCTAATATCGTTGTCAATATACTATCTCTTTTCGTCTTGTTGCTTGTAGTTCTTCACAGCCGTGTGGGAAGGGAAGGCGGTGAGGCTCCTCCGGCGGCAAAAAGTCTCAATTAGCAAGCTCCGTCCGAATGCACGGGCACTTCCATCCGAGAGCTCTGTCGCTCTGGATTTACCCACCTTTGACGACGGGCCACTATCGAACCACCCGCGCAAACCCAAACGCCCGCCAACGACGAGAGAAACGGCAACCGATCGAAGGGCGAACACGCACAAGCACGACCTGCGGTGTCGTTTTCGAGCAACCAATACAAAAAGCAGGACCCCCAGTGGGTGTCGAAGGCAGATCTTCCCCCGGGACATTCGTTGATGGCCGCGATGGCGGCTCCGAACCCGACCGGCGGCGCCGGCGAGGGCCTGCCGATGCCCTCGCGCAACCCGCTCCCCTTATCGGCATCCCAGGAGGCGCAGATCAGAGACATCTACCACCAGCGTGTACGCAGCGCCTGTGCGCCCGAAATCAAGGGTAAAGTTCCCCCCGTCTCCTCCACCAACCCCTCGTTCCCACGTCAGCCTATCTAGGCGGGGAAACTATAGCGGGAACACCTGTACCAGTCACTTCTGGCGATACAGTAGAGAAGGCTAGCTGACGCATTGTGCCCGCAAACAGCATTCGCAGATTGCGCTCTCAACAGGACATTCACCGTGTCCTTCGTCTGCAGCGACCAGCTGCGCGCGATGAACGGGTGCATGAAGGCGCACGCCACGCCACAGAACCACGACGCCGCGCGAGAGGAGTGGTTCGCCAAAAGGCTCGAGAGGCAGCGTGAGCGCGAGCGCAAGGCCGTTAAGAAGTCACAGCAGGAGGACTTCATCCGCGAGTGGTGGGGTCTGCCCGAGAAGGATGCCGAGACGAGGAGGAAGGAGGAGGAGAAGATGAGGATGGCCGAGAGGGTTGGCGGATATGCTGCTCGGGACCGGAAGCGGTGGGAGGAAGAGCAGGCGGCAGCGGCGGCGGCGGCGGCTGCGAAGAGGTGAAGAGGAGGACGAGGACGAGTGGGAGAGGATGAATGCATCGTAAGCCCGAGAGGATAAGGGTATTGGAAAAAGGGGTCGGCGCGGGGCCGGCCGAAGAGAGTTCAGATGCATATATGTTGGGTGTTCCGGATTCGTGGCTTGGGACACCCTGCTCTAAAGGCGCAGGCATTTCGGCGTGTATAAATATATCAACACCATGTAGACTACAAATCACCAAAAAGGGGGCCGAAGCCGAAGGACGGCGGTCATGATCATCGAATATTTGCCAAGGTCTTCTTCTGAGAAGACCTGCAACTTTTCTATTCAGTGACATCCGCATTCCGAGTCTAATCTTTTTTCTATGTAGCTTTCAAATCCCATAGGTCTTGTTGACTCTTTTGTGCCCTTGCAATCGTAAGATTCCTCCCTATAAACGCCAGAGTCCATTTCAGAAACACAGATACGACTTGATCGGAGCCCACTAGGCCTTGTTCTCCAGGGACTCGGCGGGAAGAGTGGCAACCTTCTCCTCGAAGAGCTTGGTAGCGCGGACCCAGACCGGGTTGGAGCGCCAGTTCTTGAGTTCCAGGAGAGTAGGCAGCAGGTCATTGCTGAAGGCCTCGGAAGCCTCACGGGGCAGCAGACTAGGCAGGTGGTCGATGCTGATGACGCTCAGGGGCGGGTTGTCGTAGCCCTCAACGGGGACCGTAGGCTTGTCGAACGTAGTGGCGACGGTGTAGATGGGGACTAAAACATTTCACTTAGTACGAGCTGAGAGTGGCTCACGAGATTGCGACTTACTAGGGTTGTGGGGGTTGGTGGTATCAGCACTGCACCAAAACGGTTAGCATGCGGTCATGAGGATAGAAGGAGTCGTGGTGAACAAACCTAACGTCGCAAACAACGCTCAGCTTGCGACCAGGAGCCTTCAGAGACTCGTGGTTGACGAAGTGGCCAACGGGTTGGTTGAGGTAGATGCAGTTGACGAAGATGTCAGACTCAACAATCTCCGGGAAGGTCTTTCCCTTGCGCTCAGGAGCGGTTGTCTCCTGGATATCCCACTTCAAGATATCTGCGATACCAGCCTTCTCGGCCATGGCAACTGCGCCACGTCCGCAACGGCCAAGGGCTCCGATGACCATGACACGCGGGGTGTAGCCTGCCTTGGCAACACCCTCGGCCAGCGCCTTCTTCACGTCTGCGATCAGAGCATCCTCGTTGGGGTAGCTCTCGACGCTGGGGTAGGGCTCGCCAGGGTGAGTGAGCTGCCAGGCCCAGTTTGAGATCGCAAGCGCGGCACCTGCGAAACCAGCGTGGACTGATTATAGAGTTAGGACTGTGATGGAGTAAGGAAATGTTCAGCAGCTGAGAATTACTCACAGCCAAAAGCTGCCACCCGGCGACCGGAGTCATCGGCCAAGAATTCCAAGTCGAGGAGTGTGCCGTTTCCGCGAGGGTAACGGGACAGGGCCTCAGCCCAGCCACCTTGCCTAATACATTGTCAGTCACAGAGACACGGGACCTTTATTCAGTGCTGACGGTATCGTACTGCTTGTAGCAATGCTGTCACTAGTTAGCGCAATTCAAAAGTGTACAATCCAGGGCTGCATACTTGGAAGTGAATGTAGGTGTGGCCAAGAGGGCTAGTTCCCTCCTCAATCTCCTTCAATCCCAAAACGAAGTATCTTCCGCCGTCAGGGGAGGAGGCAGTCGGGACATCCTTCCATGAGCCGGTCTCGACAAGCTTAGCGCCCGCCTCCTCGAACTCCTCGTCGCGGAAGAACCTTTGGTACTCCTTCTGCTGGGGGTTCTTCTCGACGTGAATCTCGTATCCAGCCTTGATGAGGGCTCGGGTCGTGCTCGGGGTGAGGGCACTGCGGTGCTCCAACCACTTAAGGGTCGTTAGCAATTACACTCTCGAGGTCACTTCGAGGGGCATCCCAAAGCAATTGCGACAAGAGTAGACAAACCTTGGTCTCGGCGCGAAGATGGATGATAGGGGCAGACATTGTCGCAGTTTTTGCAGAGAAAAGAATTGACCTGAATTGACTCAATTGCGCAAGTTTATGTGTCGAGGGCAAATATCGCGACGTCGAGGAAGGTGTTGGGGAGAGGAGCTTGAAGTATGATGATGGTGGGGTAGTTATGAGTCTACGGATGGCAAGGTAAAACATCCCACCTCTGACTCCTACAGGGAGTTACAGTAGGGGTTCGTACACCGCCTTCGGAGCGCGGGGTACCTTACCTTACAATGAGATGGCAGTGACTCAAAGTTTTTGCCCTGGCCTCAGCTCCTTCCATCCCGTCAACCAAAAAAAAAAAAAAAAATTCCTTTTCCCAGCTGCTGCCGGTGATTTATCCGCCAAATCAAGCGTGTCCGCTCATGCCAACCGGCATGTCATGCAGGTACCGAGCCTGCAGCCACCAAACGGTCGTCCGAACCAGTCTATTCTCAAAATTTGTCGCCGATGATTGTGGCCGATGTCGCAACAATCTCTACTATGGTGCCAGGGTCCACAGCATGATCACCTTATCGACGGGACATTTTAGGTTGGCATCCCAGCCAACAGTAAACTGCCAATCACAATCGCGACATAATCAATTGCGCTGCTACAGACGCGCTCTGGGATTTTGATCTTGAAGCAACCCGAGGGCGCCCTCGGCCATGCCCCAGGACAACTCGAATCCTCTTCCACCAAGCCCATATGCGTGGATGATGGTCCGGCCATCACTTGCATCCTCTCGCTCAAGTCTCAAGCCTCCTCTGCGCGTAGGTCGACGGCCAACAACGTCTTTGAGAACGCGATATTCGCCGCTGTCACCCAGAATGGCAGGGTAGGTGGCAGCAAAGGTCTTCAGCATCTGTTCCCGCAATTCTAGCGATGGCTCAACGTCCCAATTGTCTGGCTCCTTGGTGCCTCCAACTATGGTACCGCCGTCAAAGTTTCGAGGCACACAAAATGTCCAAGATCCATCCGCATTCTGTCGCGTCACTGTTGCCGGGCTGAAGTTGGCCACTGCACAAGTTTGCCCTGGGAATGTTTTAGAGGACTCTTTCTGCGGAGAAGTCAAGGAATTACAAACCTCTAGTGATGAACGAGTTCTTGTCACCAAATCCGAAGCCAGAGCAATTGACGACTGTCCGTGCGTCTGACAGCTCCTTGATACCAAAGACCTCAAGAGGGTCGCTGAGCTCTTTGCGAATCACCTTGCCTCCGTTCCATGCGAACTTACGCAAGAGGAACGAGCAGTAAATCATGGGATTGACACACCATGTCTTATACTCGCAACCCCACTTCACCTTGTCATCAGGAAACTCGCTGGGACTCAGACGCCTGAACTCGACCAACCCAAGCCTTTTGGCTTTCTCCTCCGTGAGCGCCTTATATTGCTCTGGAGGATCCTCGAGGTACTCGATACCGGGCATGAAAGTGATGCCCGCCTCGGGATTGCTTTTGAAGAGCGACTCCATATGCCGGAATGTTCTCAGAGCCATGGCGTGATCACGCTCCTCCATCTTGTTAGCCGGTATCACCCATCGATTGTGCGCCCCGCCCCATTGCGATGTGTAGTTGACCGAAGCCTTGGCATCAATGGTCTCGAATGGGCTCGGAAAGTCCCTGGCTACAATCGTGACCTGGTTTCCTTCTTGCTGGAGTCTTACGGCGGTGCTCAGACCGATCACGCCGGCGCTGGATCATGTTAGCTGCTGCACACTGACAGGAGGGGCTGTGTGGGGTGATTACCCGATGACTACGATCTGCGACATGATTCCGGTAATATAATCTCAATGTTGCTGTGTCTAGGCTCAAATATCATGAAACCTCCATGGACTTGACCCAATATATGGGTTTTATCCAATCGTCGTTGAGTCAAAGGTATTACTGAAGCCAACGCGATCCTCAACTTAGCGGTGGTCCGGTCTCCACCTTTGGCTCCAACAACGCCGACCTCGGGAGTTGTTCCCGGGGGTGCCCGGTCTGGCGAGCGTTCGGCCGAGACTGGGGGTTCCGGTCAACGGGACTCTGACCCGAAGGCCGCACCGACGCCGGCTGATACTACCGGTCAATACATACTTTGGTCGAAGATGGTCCTCATTTGCACCGGACTATTGATTTTGCCCTCAGTCCGTAGATGGGGTCGTTGATCAGGCATTCTTTGTACTCAAGTTCTGTCGACAGCACCTCAGACTTGCAACGGACTTGATCTTGCGACTTAACTAGAAGCAGCGCCGAAACATGAAGCTTTCTACATCAGCAGACTCTCGATCTCTTGACACTAGTTATTGAGCCTTTTCCAAGGGATTATGGCCCGATTTGGCTTTTTTCGAAGCTACCTGGAACGGAGACCTGCATGCCGACCGCATTTGGCCTGGCCCTGCGCAGAAACGCAGCCAGACCCAGGCGAGGTGCTCAATCAGCCGGCCACATTTCGTTCCTGCGTCGCATTTTCACATCGGCGCCCAAGGGATGTGCAGGTCGGCATCTCACTAGCCAAGGCGGTCAGAGTCGAAGAAGTTGCACCAATTTTGGGGTGTTGACCAATCGCACAATGCTCGCGTTCAACCAACCCCGCGCGCCTGTCTCTCAAACCCCTGGTCTCGGCGGCTAGGACGCAGTGTGATGGCCCGGTTGATTGGCCCAGCCCGCATCTCGCAATCTATTTTCGTCTGGCAACTCGACCACCCTCCTGCCCATCCCCTCCATCTTCTTGGCTCTCACCACTCACCGCGGCCCGTCAGGCAAGCCAGCGCTTACCAGGTCTCCCGTGGGCTACCTGCCATAATTGAACCCAGTATGCTCCGTAGTGCCGGCGCTTTAATGCCAGCAGAGTATATACTCTCGTGGTTCTGTTGGCAATCGTATGTTGACATGCCTTTTTCCCCTTTCATCTGGTTATCTTAACCAGTGCCGCAATAACAAACCGACGTTCTGTTTGTTCTCAGTTGCCGGCTTGTTGGGACCATGCATCGGTAGCAGTTGGACTGCCTATTATTCATTCCATTGTGGCATCCCCCCTTTACTTGTGAAGAGCCTGGGAAGCATCAACCAAAGGGGAATCCCAACGTTCGATTCGAGAAGCAACACAGCCCATCATGTCGGCTCAGCCACCCTCTGGAGGGTACTCTCTCTTCCCGAACCCCAACACCAAGCCCCCAACGGTACGGAGACCGGCATCTCGGACTCGAACATCGGAGTCTCGCGAGCGCTCGCGGACTCGGGCTGTGTCTCCGGAAACCATCGACTCGGTAACCCCACCCCGCCATGGAAGACAGACGCCGCAGCAAAGGATGCAGTCGCCGGTTGAGCGATCGCAAACACCGCAAGAAATCCGTCAACCCCAGCCCAGTGAGCAACACGCCTCACCAATCAACCGCGAGTTGCCGCCACTGCCTTCAGAGGCAGTTTCGCCTGTCCAAAGGCCTGCCCCCACTGCTGAAGTGCCGCCTCGGTCAGACACTGCCTTCTCTCAGGCGCAAACACTAGCACGGAGCAACAGCCATCGCTCTCGCAGCTCGATAGCAAAGCTTCCACTGCCTGGAGAGCCGTCATCGTCACAAGAGCCTGCTGCTCTTCGGTCCATCTTTCCCCAGTATAACCCCGAAGTGCCGCTCAATCAACAGGAGTACTTCCCGACTCAGACCAGTCCAACTCATATTCCCAGAGCTGTCATTAATCGAACAACGTGGTACCCGGAACGAGAAGCGGATGGGCAAGAGGCTCAGCACAGAAGCCCGGTGAGAAGTCCGATGAGTGGCGGTTCAGCGCCAAGATGGCCCAGAAGGAGGATCGAACCTCCCATCATTCCCAACGTTTCGACAAATGAGCAAATGAAGAACATGTGGAAGGTCACCAACGGCTGGAAAGCCTCCCCTTCTGAAGGCAGAGTGTACTGCATGAAGCTATCCCAGGAAAAGGATGCTCCGGTCTACACCTTGTCCTCGACATCTCAGCCATTCTACAACCTCAGGCTCGATCCCACATCTGCATCCGCATACGTTACTCTCAGTCGACACGACCCTAACAAGGTCTACAAGGCCCCGAGCCCAACGGCGGGCTCTTCAGCCAGTAGCATCCTCAGCGGCGTCGTCGGCAACAAGGACAACGGCAAAGGCACTGAGAGCAAGCACTGGCAAGAGGTCCTCACCACCACTCTCGAAGAAGAATCCCGCAAGCATCCTCCGAATGACGGCCTGGTTGCCCTTCTCTATCCGCAGGCAGCGGCCAAGATGGCCCTGGACAGGCCAGACGACATGACCGCCATCGTCACCGCGGAAACGGAGTGCGCACGGCTCGTCTGGGACGACGACTCCAGCTCGCACTTCGTCGTCCACCCAGCGTTGGCCACGCCCTTCTGCGTCACCATTCAGCGCTCACCCGCCTGGAGCCGGGTCGAGTACACCTTGGAGCATCACGAGTCGCCTCAGCACCTCGCCAAGCTGACCCGTGACGGCACGGGCGCTGGGTTCCTCGAGGTTGATACGGCCATCGCCTCCAAGATTGAGAGCTTCTTCATCGTCGACGTCGCCGTCACGGCGCTGCTGCTGGTTGCGGCAAGCGACGAGAAGAACTCAAAGGTCGAGACTTTCGAGCCTCCTCCCGCACCGCGCGAGCCTGCTGGCGGCGAGCGCCGGCTTAGCAAGCGGGAGGAGAAGAAGCGTGCGGCCGCCGCGCGCAGGGGCAAGATGGAGGAGTTTGAGATCGACGTCGAGAGCCAGGACAGCAGCCTTGGCAGCTTCGCGAAGCTGGAACAAGTCGGAAAAGAGACGCGCGACAGGATGCCGTGGCCGTTGAGGGCGCTGTTCAAAGTCTTGTCCGCTCTGTTCAAGTGCTTCGTGTGGTTCCTGACGATTGGCTTCAAGGCGCTTGCTGCCATCGTCAAGGGGTTGGCGAGGTGTGTTGGCGTCAAGTCGAAATGATGACGGGAAAAAAAAGCATGAGTTTGCTTTGAATGAAATAATGAGATACCACTTTGTTGATCCGGGTTCCTTTTTTCTAGTATTTCTTTG